TTCGAGCTCCTCTTTGGCCGGCAACCCCGCGGCCTCCTGGATGTGGGGAAGGAAGCCTGGGAGCAGCAGCCGGCAGCCCATCGCTCTGTCATCGAGCATGTCAGACAGATGAGGAAAAGGATCAACCGGGTTATGCCATTAGTCCGGGAACACTTGACGAAAGCGCAGCAGGCCCAACAGCGCCACTATAACCGGGCAGCCCAACCACGGGAGTTCCAGCCTGGAGACCGAGTCATGGTCCTAGTCCCCAATGCTGCCTGCAAGTTCCTGGCCACCTGGCAGGGTCCCTACACAGTGCTGGAAAGGATTGGGCCGGTGACGTACCGTGTGCGCCAGCCAGGGAGGAGGAGAGCCGAGCAGCTCTACCACATCAACCTGCTGAAGAAGTGGGTGGGGACTAGAGACCAGCTCGCAGCCCTCGCCGTCTCTGACCCCGTGGTTGTTGACGTCAACCCCCACCTCTCGGCTGCCCAGAAGAGGGAGCTGCAGCACCTGGTCGGTCAGTTCTCGGATGTGTTCTCTGCTCTGCCCGGGCGGACCAGCGTCCTGCAGCATGACATCCGGAAGCCGCCAGGGGTCGTCGTCAGGCAATGGCCCTACCGGGTCCCTGAGGCTCGTCAGCAAGCTATTGTGGAGGAAATCCATCAAATGCTGAAGTTGGGGGTGATAGAACCATCCCGCAGCCCGTGGTCCAGCCCAATCGTGATGGTCCCGAAACCGGACGCACCCTCCGCTTCTGCAATGATTTCCGCCACCTCAACGAGGTATCTGAGTTCGACGGATACCCCATGCCTCGGGTGGATGAGCTGTTGGACCGGCTGGGGAGGGCCCGGCATATCTCAACGTTGGACCTCACCAAAGGCTACTGGCACATTCCAGCGGATGATGGACATCCTGTTGCCTGTTGCGGAGGCCTACGCCGCTGCCTACCTGGACGACGTCGTAATCCACTCCGAGGCATGGGAAGACCGAAGACCACGGTTGCGGAGGGTGCTCTCGGAGCTCCGGAGGGCTGGACTCACCGCCAACCCTCGCAAATGCCACCTTGCGCTCTCCGAGGCGAAGTACCTTGGTTTCCAGGTGGGACGGGGTCTCATTCGGCCACAGGAGAGGAAGGTGGAGGCGGTACGCTCTGCCCCGAGACCCGAGACCAAGACCCAGGTACGAGCCTTTTTCCCTAACTTAGCCGCCTCCCTGACAGACTTGACCAGGAAGGGGCAGCCGGAGAAGGTACAGTGGACACCGTGGACACCAGAGGCCTTCCAGAGGGTGAAGGGGGCCCTCATCTCGGAGCCGGTTCTCCGAGCCCCGGACTTTAGCTGCCCCTTCCTGCTGCAGACGGATGCCTCCGACACAGGACTGGGAGCCGTCCTGTCACAGATCCAGGAAGGTGAGGAGCATCCTGTCATTTATATTAGCAGGAAGCTGACCCCGGCCGAGAGAAACTACGCCGCGGTGGAAAAGGAGGCCCTGGCCGTCAAGTGGGCAGTCCTGGAGCTGCACTACTACCTCCTTGGCCGGAAGTTCACCCTGGTCACGGACCACGCCCCCCTTCAGTGAATGGCCCGCGCCAAGGATACCCATGCCAGGGGGACCCGCTGG